TTTTTTTTTAACTTTTTAAGTTTATAGCAAATAAGCAACCAATCTTGAATTTGTACACACATCCTAACCTTTCTGGAATCTGCATGGTAGCACTGGGTGAGGGAGATGGCTTACTGCTCACCCATCTTTGTGGGGTGAGGTCTGCCCTGTCCTCCACATGTGGCCTGTGGACACCCAAGCTGGCTCCACCTCGGCTCGCCTGGGCCCTGCTGGCCTGGCTCACTTCAGGACCACCCTGTAGTCTAAGCCAAGAATCACGTCCAGGTGGGAGAGGAGGAGGTGAGGATGCTGGTCTGGGCAGGAGGCGGGCAGCGGTTACTTGGTGCGGCCCTGGGGAGAGGCGGTCACTTTGCAGGCTCAACCCCCGGGAGGCCTGTCCAGCTTGGGTTTGTGGCTCCTGGGGCGTGTTTATCACTGCGGAGCAGTGGCCTCTCCTCCCTCGCTGGGGTTGGCCTCCTCATGTCCCAGCAGCCCCAGTGTCTGTACAGACCATGGCCCCTGAACAAACCATAGGAAGGCCAGGGTGGGGCCGAGGATCTCAGAGACCGGGGCTGGCTCTGCCTTGCTCTGGGGGTGATGATGGAGGCACCAGTGCCCCTCTCTCCAGCGCTGCCACTGAACCCAGGCTGCTAAAGTGGGGCCGCTCGGAGGATCCCTCTGAGACCCCTGGGACAGGAGCCCTGCAGTGGCCCCACTGCTGCAGCTCTGACGCTGTGTCCCCACTCCTGTCCTCCCCAGTGGCTTTCCAAACGCTCCTGCCCAGGGCCCTGCCTGTCCTAAGCTGAACCTGAGACCTGAGGGTGGCTCTACAGGAGGCCCCTCCAGGACATCACGTGGCCCCGCAGGCCTGTTTGACGTCATGCCTCTCGTGGTTTGACGCTTGCTAGGTCCAACGTCTCCCCAGCTTCCCTTGTGACTCCCCCTCCCAGCAGGCCTCCCAGGGAGCCAGTGCAAGTCCCTCCATCCCCACAGAGAGGCCTGCCCAGAGCTGGAGGAGAAGCTCTTTATTTGGAGTCAGGCGGGTGGGAGCAGGGAAGGGTCATGGCTGGAGGGTAGGTCCAGGCGGTCCGGGCTCCGTGTCTGGCAGCAGGGTGGACTCTGGGTGCAGACTAGGGGCTGCTGTGCTAGGAAGAGCAGAGGTTAGGGAGGCTATAGGGTAGGGCAGAGGCCAGGCCCAGAGCTCCCTCCCCAGGATCTGCAGCCCCCACATCAGCCACTGCTGGGCAGCCTTGGGGCTCCAGAGTGACCTCAGCTCCTCCAATGACCGGGCAGGCCTCTGAGCATCCTCAGTGAGTGGATTGGGGGGAGTCGACCGAGTGGGGACAGATGCAGGGGGAGATGGGCCGAGGTGACACCTGAGGGAGCCCGAGGGAGGCCTCGCTGTGGAAGGGCCGAGGAGGACACTCACTCAGGCTGGCAGGCGCAGGAATAGGTGAAGCAAAGGACTTCCCAAATGTCCCAGGAATTGTGGGTGGGCAGACTCTGAGAGGTGCCAACCTCGTGCCTGACCCCGGGGGGTCTC